GGATCGATGACTTGCATCAACCAAGTCAGCGAGCCTGACCACCCGATCCCGTTTGTCGCCTTTTACGACAATGATTTTACTTAGACCGCATATATTAGTTTGTACACCATAATGACCGACTTTATTAAAAAGCTTATTACGGTTGTAAAAAAATTGTATACAATTTAATTAAGCAACTTATAAGGGTCCTGACTGCCACCAGCCTGTGTTGTGTAAAGCGATAGTAACGTGAAGCAGTAAAACTAGTGAATCAAGGTCCAGTATGAATGCCTCCTAATGCTAAGAGTTGAGACGAGTGCACAATACACTAGATTACCTCCCTTGGGGACACTACTTTATAGTTGTCGTCTTGTGTTTGCCAACGCTTGGTGTAACTTTATAGGTAACAGTACATTGTGCATTGTCAACTACATGAGTGGAACCCTGTATTTATAGTTTCCTGTCAGGGGGTATCCAAGATACGTTAATAACAAAGGATATATGATACAGGACATGCTTTGGGGGTGGTAATGCATGGAATGAATAGTCCATATTAAATCCATTCCAAACAACGTACTCTTTTAATTCGCTCTCTTTGGCTGTGTTCATGATAGATTTTGTAAAATGTTGACCGATAAACACTTCACTGAAACATTGAAGCCATTCTGAAAATTTGATAAGTCAATGGCAGCGGTGATGACAAGTAGAAACACGCTGATTCCCATCCCTACAATCAATTGTGTTATATCAGACTTCGAAGCCTAGGCTTCCCAATCATTAGAGGGGTGGCGCGCCAGCCTAGTGGTTAAAGTGTTCGTTCGTCACGCCCGAGTTCGATTCTTCACATGGATACAATGTTTCTTTTGCTTTCAGTCACTCGTTTGCCCGATCCAGGCTTATATACAGACCGTCGTGACTATTACTGTCTGCAAAACCAGATACTTGTTTAATTAAAACCATGAGCCTAAAAAAAACCACCCTGCAAATAAGGCATTTTTCGTGTCAGGCAAATAAATATTTTTCAACAGTCTGAAGCATAGATATCTGTTCAAGCATTTTCTGGGACAATTTATACTTTTCCACAAAATCACAGAAAGTTGAGCTGATCACACCCAGTCACCTTCTGGCTGATTCCAAACAGTTGAGCTGATCACACCCAGTCACCTTCTGGCTGATTCCAGACAATTGATCATATCCAGTCACCTTCTGGCTGATTCCAGACAGTTGATCATATCCAGTCACCTTCTGGCTGATTCCAGACAGTTGAGCTGATCACATCCAGTCACCTTCTGGCTGTTTCCAAACAGTTGAGCTGATCACACCAAGTCACCTTCTGGCTGTTTCCAAACAGTTGAGCTGATCACACCCAGTCACCTTCTGGCTGATTCCAAACAGTTGAGCTGATCACACCCAGTCACCTTCTGGCTGTTTCCAAACAGTTGAGCTGATCGCACCCAGTCACCTTCTGGCTGTTTCCAAACAGTTGAGCTGATCACACCCAGTCACCTTCTGGCTGATTCCAAACAGTTGAGCTGATCACACCCAGTCACCTTCTGGCTGTTTCCAAACAGTTGAGCTGATCACACCCAGTCACCTTCTGTCTGTTTCCAAACAGTTGAGCTGATCGCACCCAGTCACCTTCTGGCTGATTCCAAACAGTTGAGCTGATCACACCCAGTCACCTTCTGGCTGATTCCAAACAGTTGAGCTGATCGCACCCAGTCACCTTCTGGCTGTTTCCAAACAGTTGAGCTGATCACACCCAGTCACCTTCTGGCTGTTTCCAAACAGTTGAGCTGATCACACCCAGACACATTCTGGCTGTTTCCAAACAGTTGAGCTGATCACACCCAGTCACCTTCTGGCTGTTTCCAAACAGTTGAGCTGATCACACCCAGTCACCTTCTGGCTGTTTCCAAACAGTTGAGCTGATCGCACCCAGTCACCTTCTGGCTGTTTCCAAACAGTTGAGCTGATCACACCCAGTCACCTTCTGGCTGATTCCAAACAGTTGAGCTGATCACACCCAGGCAACTTCTGGCTGATTCCAGACAATTGATCATATCCAGTCACCTTCTGGTTGATTCCAAACAGTTGAGCTGATCACACCCAGTCACCTTCTGGCTGATTCCAAACAGTTGAGCTGATCACACCCAGGCAACTTCTGGCTGATTCCAGACAATTGATCATATCCAGTCACCTTCTGGTTGATTCCAAACAGTTGAGCTGATCACACCCAGTCACCTTCTGGCTGATTCCAAACAGTTGAGCTGATCACACCCAGGCAACGTCTGGCTGATTCCAGACAGTTGAGCTGATCACATCCAGTCACCTTCTGGCTGATTCTAGACAGTTGAGCTGATCACATCCAGTCACCTTCTGGCTGTTTCCAGACAGTTGAGCTGATCACATCCAGTCACCTTCTGGCTGATTCCAAACAGTTGAGCTAATCACATCCAGTCACCTTCTGGCTGATTCTAGACAGTTGAGCTGATCACATCCGGTCACCTTCTGGCTGTTTCCAGACAGTTGAACTGATCACATCAAGTCACCTTCTGGCTGATTCCAGACAGTTGAGCTGATCGCACCCAGTCACCTTCTGACTGTTTCAAGACAGTTGAGCTGATCACACCCAGTCACCTTCTGGCTGATTCCAGGCAATTGATCACATCAAGTCATCATCTGGCTGTTTCCAAACAGTTGAGCTGATCGCACCCAGTCACTCTCTGGCTGATTCCAGGCAATTTATCACACCCGGTCACCTTCTGGCTGATTCCAATGTTGAGCTGATCACATCCAGTCACCTTCTGGCTGATTCCAAACAGTTGAGCTAATCACATCCAGTCATCTTCTGGCTGTTTCCAGACAGTTGAGCTGATCACATCAAGTCACCTTCTGGCTGATTCCAGACAGTTGAGCTGATCGCACCCAGTCACCTTCTGGCTGATTCCAAACATTTGAGCTGATCACACCCAGTCATCTTCTGGCTGTTTCCAGGCAATTGATCGCACCCAGTCACCTTCTGGCTGTTTCCAAACAGTTGAGCTGATCGCACCTAGTCACTCTCTGGCTGATTCCAAGCAATTGATCGCACCCAGTCACCTTCTGGCTGTTTCCAAACAGTTGAGCTGATCACACCCAGTCACCTTCTGGCTGTTTCCAGGCAATTGATCGCACCCAGTCACCTTCTGGCTGTTTCCAAACAGTTGAGCTGATCACACCCAGTCACCTTCTGGCTGATTCGAGATAGTTGAGCTGATCGCACCCAGTCACCTTCTGGCTGATTCCAAACAGTTGAGCTGATCACACCCAGTCACCTTCTGGCTGATTCGAGATAGTTGAGCTGATCGCATCCAGTCACCTTCTGGCTGATTCCAAACAGTTGAGCTGATCACACCCAGTCACCTTCTGGCTGATTCCAGGCAATTGATCACACCCAGTCACCTTCTGGCTGATTCCAAACAGTTGAGCTGATCACACCCAGTCACCTTCTGGCTGATTCGAGATAGTTGAGCTGATCGCATCCAGTCACCTTCTGGCTGATTCCAAACAGTTGAGCTGATCATACCCAGTCACCTTCTGGCTGATTCGAGATAGTTGAGCTGATCACACCCAGTCACCTTCTGGCTGATTCCAGGCAATTGATCGCACCCAGTCACCTTCTGGCTGATTCCAGGCAATTGATCACACCCAGTCACCTTCTGGCTGATTCCAAACAGTTGAGCTGATCGCACCCAGTCACCTTCTGGCTGATTCGAGATAGTTGAGCTGATCACACCCAGTCACCTTCTGGCTGTTTCCAGGCAATTGATCACACCCAGTCACCTTCTGGCTGATTCCAAACAGTTGAGCTGATCACATCCAGTCACCTTCTGGCTGATTCCAAACAGTTGAGTTGATCACACCCAGTCACCTTCTGGCTGATTCGAGATAGTTGAGCTGATCGCATCCAGTCACCTTCTAGCTGATTCCAAACAGTTGAGCTGATCACACCCAGTCACCTTCTGGCTGATTCCAGGCAATTGATCACACCCAGTCACCTTCTGGCTGATTCCAAACAGTTGAGCTGATCACACCCAGACACATTCTGGCTGATTCCAAACAGTTGAGCTGATCACACCCAGTCACCTTCTGGCTGATTCGAGATAGTTGAGCTGATCGCATCCAGTCACCTTCTGGCTGATTCCAAACAGTTGAGCTGATCACACCCAGTCACCTTCTGGCTGATTCCAGGCAATTGATCGCACCCAGTCACCTTCTGGCTGATTCCAGGCAATTGATCACACCCAGTCACCGTCTGGCTGATTCGAGATAGTTGAGCTGATAACAGTTGCCTTCTGGCTGCATGAGTCTCTGCCAGCAGCCTGGTCCATGTCAAATACGGTTTGTCTGGTCCAGCAGCGATTATTTACATGCCGCCGATATCAAACTTGAATAGTGAAGTATTTATCAACAGAGATTGTTGAAGGCTCTTCCCGGGAGGTCAAAGTACCGAAACATGATTGTCCCTCTCTGTGACGTTTAATTCCTATCATCATCGATATAACTATCATCAACCAGTGTTTTAAGTCAACTCATTGCTGAGCATTGTTTTAATATTGCGTACAACCACCAGTGGCTTAAGTGGTGACGTAAATCCATGTGGGGTATCATGCAGGAAGCAGAGGTAGCCTTGTTTGGTTACCGGTGGCTTTTAGCCCGTGTTGTAAACAGTTGTAAATAATATTTTTATGCCAAAATATGTTTGGAAAATTTGTTTTTAAATATAACTTTGTATTCATGACTCACATGTATATATCCACTTGTTTTTATCGCTATATGGTTAAAATAATGCCGATGCGACGTTAAACTTTAATTCACTTACTCACTTGAACAGTCAGGTGTCAAACACAAAACCCACACCATCGTCCACCCGGATGCCCGGATCACACAACGACATGCACTGCAGCGGGCGAATTCGTAAAGCAATGTCGTCTCAACCTGCACACACCCACTTGAAACAAACATTTTCAAATAAGTTCTGAAAAGACACACGTTTATTCCTTCAGATACAAAGATATACATCAATAACCGTATAAATATAGCTGTAGAAACAATGCTCCACAATATCCATATAATAAGTACAGAACTCTTCTCGCACATCAATTTAGTTGTGTCATATGTGATAAATTACAACTAAAATTCTGTTTATATAAATCACTCATGGCTAAGTACAACGAAGTTTTACTCCAGGAATCGATGAGACTGTGTTATTCTGAACCTAAATATAATCAATTTAGTGAGATGAGTCTTTGCTCCAGGGAAAGATAACTTCTCCAAAGTTTTACGTAGCCAATTCGCAATTACCTATAATTCACCAGGGTCGTACTAATTTTCAACAATATTTCAGTAACATCAGCTCGTAGACGTTTGCCAGCCTCGGGAAACCCAAGAATACAACAGAATAGCTGACCGACCATAAACCAAAGGTGATAACTGGATTCCTACGATCAGCACACCCTGGCATGGCTAAGGGGCATAACGGCAGTGAACGCAACCCGTGCTCCCGATCATAAACCTTGCGTAATATTTTTGGATGCTTTTACTTCGTAACAATCAAAGTTTGGGTTGAAGCTTTGTATATTCACACATTTTTAAAAAGACATCTTCCATATCCTTCGCCATTTCTTCGCTCGATCTGCTCTTGCCAAACAAGGAGGCACTGGATGTTTCTTGGTAAACAATGGCAGCCAGCAATACACACATCATTGCCGTGCCTCCCCATACGAAAACCTCCCCCATCTCAGTCTCGCACGGGAAAAAGTAAACATGCATCTTACGGCCTAACAAACTCGTTTCTTTGGTCACAAAGTCATTCTGCAGAAACCTCGCTAGGGGGACGGTAAATACAATTTCAACTTCATCTGCGTTTGGAACCGGCTTAAAATCATCAGGTATAAAACCGACTATCGGGAATACGGAATAATCTGGTCGGAAGAAGGATGGCACCAGGCAGCTGACCACTTCTACTTTTGATGAAGGAAGTCCAATCTCTTCCTCAGCTTCTCTCAGCGCTGTTGCCACGTCGTCGACATCACCTTCTTCCTTTCTCCCGCCCGGGAAGGCTACAGTCGAGGCATGATGACGTAGTTTGGACGAGCGAAGCGTCAGCAGCACGTGTAGGGTGTCGTTCCGGAACAACAGCGGTAAGAGAACGCTGCTCCGTCGGAGATGATCGTACACAGATTCTGGGAAGGTTTGAGAGGCCCGGACGTCGTACTTTTCCAAACGAGCTTTTACTTCATCAACAGTCGGAGAACTGAACGCGTAACTCGCCATCATCAGCTTCCTGCAACATCAGCGGCAAAGCTGCAGTGACAAATATAGAAGACGTATAGAATCACACTATTAATACATCTGTTACAGACAATGACTGATATCGGTACAGACACACTGGCTGGGTGTAACGCATGTTACTTATCAAAATCTTTACATGACTATCATCTGATCGTAGCTGATGCTAGAGGTTCGCGATTGAGCCAACTATCGACACATTTCATATAAGACGCTGGCAACACCTGGACTTCGTGTCGAAATATCAATATATACACATCAATAGCGCGATTCTGAATAGTTTAGTTAGATGCAATACAATAAATCAAAACTGATTAACACCTCCAGCTATTGTTTAAATTGTAAGTACGAGTCTCGTTCATTACACTTTATCAGACATTAATCAGAGCTATCTTCCCTAACTCCCAAACAACTTCCCAGCAATCTGCTCCACACAGAAAACACTGGGCGCGTGAGGCTTTGAGGTCTTGTCGAGACAGGGAATCTGCATTCTGGATATGAGGTTAGAATATAACCTCACTGGGCAGACGCATCCATTATTTGACCTTTATCAACTCATTTTATAAAATGGCTAAACTGAAATGTCCAATGTAAACAGTGACTCCCCAATTTTGCAGACGCCCCAGTTTTCAGACGGCTTAAACAAACAAAAGAAAAAGTTGAATGCACAGCAATTTACTACCTTTCTACCTCTTCATTGAAATGGTATGACCCACAGATACCCCACTTTGTAGACATAAGTCAAGAAAACAATGAAAGTTTCTCCAAATGTTTATTCTTTCATACAAGTATTCATATCACAACAGACATCCAACATACAACATATCTTATGTAGAGAAAACTTCGGATCACTGTGGACTTAATGAAGTATTCCTGAATCCTAATAACTTCAACCGACATTTGTTGATACAAAGTTGAACCTGTACTGTGAGATCATTTTATACAATCATTGAGAAATTATACATCCTCTAGTTCCAAGGGATTACTGAACGCATTATAAGATTCCCCTTCTTTCGAAAAATATGTATTACTTCCCCACAGCATGTCAGTGCCTTTACTTAAACACAGGACCTCCAATCACAATTTACCGACAGAGACCGGCAGATGGCGTTTTGTCAGGACTGTGCTTGTTTGGTAACCCCTCGCACGGAGATCTTCTTTGAAAGGACAAGCAGGTCAATCTGAGCAAAACCTACTCACATATTCTTTTGCTGAATTCCCAATTCAGCTTGAATGAGGGAGTGAATGATGATAAAAAACTGTCAAGCTATATCAGGACGCCCTATGAACAATAGAATATGGACCAGGCAAACCGGTGACTGAAAGAATGAACAAAGAAATATGCCATCGAGTCACCGATCCTGACCACTGTTTGTTTGTTTGTTGTTGTTTTTTGTCTAAGGTTCCACTTAGCAATATTCCAGCTACATGGCGGCGGTCTGTAAATAATCGAGTCTGGACCAGGCAATCCAGTGATTGACATCATGAGCATCTATCTACGCATTTGGGATACGATGACAAGTATCACCAAAGTCAGCGATCCTGACCACCCGATCCATTTAGTCGTCTCTAAGGACAAGCATAGTCGCCTCATTCGGCAAGCATGGGTTTCTGAAGTCCTATTCTCTACCCGGATCTTCACTGACCAGTGACCACTGAATCTAATTCAGTCTGGTGTTACCACAATCACTGGGCACGGAGGGGTTGTTCTTGCCCGGAATCCCCACTGAGTCACCACGTACATGAGCTAATAATTAGTCAGCACAAATCATTTTACTTCAAGCTCACGTGGATGCACCTTTAAAAACTTGGAGGACATTTCCAAAACTGACGCATCTGACAACTAAACTATTGCCGGATGAAAATATCAATAAACTGTGACTTATACCATATATTTCCGTGTGTTTTAGGTGACTATTTTGTGACCGCTGCCACCAGTTGGGCAGGATACGCTCACCTTCTCGCGAACACCTGGTATCGTCACTATTTGATAGTGATTCATAAGCACAGGCCCATGATATAGTCGGAATCGTACAATGGACTCTCATTTTAACCACAGATTTCTTATGATTATGGAAAGGGTTTGTGGCTGGTATTTATTGGAAATCGCGTCTATCTGACGACGGTGATGTACGCGGAGAGTTGTCACCGTCACCACTGCTTGTTGTTAAATGAGTGTGACTTTGTTTCCATTACGATAGGGAATATCCTGTTTCTTAAAAACGTGCCAGCATAAATGTATATATACTCACCGACAAAAGAAACACGAATACAATACATGTTGGTTAGTACATGAAGAATTACTCATATTCAAGAAATATTTCGATTGGCTCGATGCACAAACAAACATACTGTTATGTTGCGAGAACCGACGCTCATCATCGCATCACATGTGACGTCATTGATCCCTGACTCGAGATGCACCTTTTGTCTCTTGCATGATTAGCATGTAAAGTTTGGAAATCACGTGAGCATATTGTGATAAGAATAAAGATACTGTGGGAACAGTTGACTGATTGTTAGTTTTGTCATTAAGTGGTACACATTGGAAACATCTCTTCTTAACGTAAGTACGTCTCTATATGTTTCTATGGTTCGCGTTACTTTTGGCGGTGAGTATATTTTCACAAACGAGATTTTGCAGAGATATGTACATACACGCACGCGCGCGCACACACACATACATAGTGTCGCCTTGATAGTAATAGTACATATTCGACATTAACAGTGTAGACAATTCCTTATTCCTTGTTCTCGTGTCCCTCAGGAATATTGTGTTCAAATCTGTGGTCGTGTCGTTTCTTTGTAGTACTTGACTGCGCCACAGCTCTACGTTACACCAGTAGTTATATCGTCTGCCATTACATCATTACAAAGAACATTGAGATCAATCTCACGTTAGCCAGTGACCCAGTGGTCTAGTCTAAGGCGCCGGCTCGGGATAGGCTGATCGTGGGTTCGATTCTCATTCACCCGTTGATGTGTGTTGGTCTATGAGCACCATAGCCGAGCTTGTGAGTATCACCAACGTGGTACACGTCTATGACATTTGGTGTTCCGCCTACAGTAAGTTGACATGCCGTAATATAAGTGAAAAACGATTAAAAGCGACATGTAAAACCCAACTCACGGCCCCTATCAACAGCACATGGTGTCACTAATGCAAAACACGTGTCTGACCAGGTTCCTCGGTGACCTTTGACACAAACCACCCCAGTCCAATAGCGGTTCAACCACACATTGTTATTCGATAAGATACCGAGCTTAACTGTTGAATAATTAGATAACATGTTTCAATATCTGATTAGTACTACTTCCGATTATCATCGATGTATTATGTAACAAGAAAGATACACATACCCCCGTTATCCCCGCTGGTCAACAACAAATAGTAAATAGTTTGTTAATTAATGAAATATTACATATTTCTAACTGATTTTTAACTTCAATGTTTTAAAAACTAAGATTAAGTTCCAGTGACAATTGACCCCCCCCCCCCCCCCAAAAAAAAATTTCCCATGTTACCAGTGTTCACTACGAGGAAGTAGATCACCATGAACACCTTTGAATAAAAATTTGATTGAGGAGTTACATAAGAAGAATTATCAAAAGGATCAAAAATTGTTGATATGTTTACACATAAAAAATGGATCAATATCATATAAGAAAATCAATAAATTAATAATTTCCATCTAGCCTTAACAGATATGGTAAAGAATTCATAAATTCAAACTAACACAAAGCACAGATACTTATGATGATCTACATGTGTGGGAACAATTTTGAAAAATATATTAGCTATACAAAACCAGTCATCAAAATTTCTAAATTCCACCATGTTTCCATGAAAACAGCAAAAGAGAAAACTTTCAGAATCTTATAAAAGATTAAAAAAACAATCATAGTGGTTAATGTAGCATGTTTGCTGAAGCTAGCATACATAATATTGTAAACATGGATCGTACAAAAACTCTACCCAAAATTTATGTTTCACCATGATTCCATGGAAACGGCAAAAATAAAAAAATTCAGAATCTTCAAACTAGCAAAAGGCACAAGTACTCATTGTGGTTAATGTGTGTAGCAAGTTTGGCGAAGCTAGGGTGCATAGTTAAAAAGATATAGGCCGTACAAAACACCCACCCTAAAAGTTTAAGTTTCTTAATGTTTCCATGGAAACGGCAAAAATTAAAAAGTTCAGAATCTTCAAACTAGCAAAAGGCACAAGTACTCATTGTGGTAAATGTGTGTAGCAAGTTTGGTGAAACTATGGCGCATGGTTAAAAAGATATGGGCCGTACAAAAAAAAAACCACCCTAAAAGTTTAAGTTTCTTAATGTTTCCATGGAAACGGCAAAAATTAAAAAATTCAGAATCTTCAAACTAGCAAAAGGCACAAGTACTCATTGTTGTTAATGTGTGTAGCAAGTTTGGTGAAGCTAGGGTGCATGGTTAAAAAGTTATGGGCCGTACAAAAGCTCGGACGGAAGGACGGACGGACGGAACGCTATATATACCCCCGATTTACTTCGTAAACGGGGGTATAATTAACTTATATGTGATCACAACGGTATGCGATGGGCAGTGACGGTGGGTGGGGGCGGGGGCCGGTGTGCAAACCCCTCACCACTATTCAAATTAACAAATAATGTATCGGAACCAATAACAGAAAAAAATACCTCTTGTCACTGAAATACAGGTGTATATTTCACGTAGATCCACCCCAACATATAGTTTTGCAAGGTAAAAACAGTAAAAACGCAGAAAAGCAGGCATTGTATTTAAATGTTATCTTGCGGCTACTATTAGTTATTGCTAAAACCAGAGACCATGTGTCGGTATATGTTCTCTGCTAAAACATAATACATTTAAACAAGTAAATTGTGATCCTTGATGTACATCATATAATATATTCACAAGGGACGTGGAATATAAATTAATGCACGCGCAGTATTTATTTGAGCGTTTCTTTAATTCAACATATGCATGTACTAGTATTCATGTCTATTTCAGTTCCAATTTCAGGGAAATCAAGCATGGTAATTATTTATGCATATACAGATACTAATTATATGCTTCAATATGCTATATAAAATAGTATAAGCTAAATATATAATACAGATGCAATTGCCTTGGTATGACGTTTCCGTTTTTACGAGAGAACTTACAATACGATAATTAGATAATAGTTCGGAAAGACATCTTAATTACTAAATATTAGGCATTAAGCTCCCACAAGCTGTGCTTCCATATACAGATACAGTTCCAGAGAGTGTGGCTATCTTTAAACAATGACGTCATGGTTACATTATTAGTGCCATCTAAATATCCACCAGTAGGATATAGGGTATAACAACACGGGAAGATTTCAGCCAATGAAATTGCAGGTTACTTGTAGTTAGGCCCGCTGTATTAGCGATAGCGTATTCAGAAACGACTAGACGAACAACAGCTCACATGACCCTCCGCAAAAGGGAAAAGGATTTTCAATTGGACAATTAAAATTTGGAAAGACAGTATTGGATTTAATCATCCTGGATTAAAGGAATGTTAGTGGAACGTTTACAACAATAGGAAATTGTACAAATGCAAAATAAGAACCCTTTTCTCCCAAAACAAGGTACGTGAAAATATTCAACATGGCGGCTGCTCATGAATTAGACTCTACGGTACGGCCTCGACCTACTGACTGACTTTCAGCGGAGTAGACGATCTTGACTTCTGTCTTCCAAATACCACTTTCATCGGTTATGTGCTATTTAAGTTAATAAGTAAGGGACATCTGACATGGAAAAGCTTATAAGTAAGTTGTTGATTTATACTGCACGGAAGGAGTCGCTGTTTGCGATTGGTAGATCTCGCCACATCCACTTAACGAGTGTCTAGTGGCTGTAAATATATTACATGTATACATGAAGGCATGACAGTTACGGTCAGTAATAGAAGAGTTCTTCAGCTTACTTATGTAACATTTCTGATGCTATTTCGTAGACAATTAATCATACAGAACGTTCATATATCTTACCGATATTTGGCCCTTTCGGGAGGTGCGACGGGTCACAGGTCAAGGCCGTCGTAGTGCCCTGGCTATTAATAGAAACACGTAAACAAGAGTCGGTGTCAGATCTTGCATTGATGTTAACAGTGTTAGAGAAGAATTGAATCTTAACTTTTGTTTCATTTATTATTGAAATGTATAAGAAAATATTAGCTCACTCATCTGCTCATATGAGCAACTATTAAATATTTGTGAAGCAGTACTGTTTATACATAAATAGATCGCTATCATAGGCATGTGTGGATGTTTGTTACTTGTGTGTAAAAGCCTGAGGCCAACACTGGCACACTAGGGTATTTTTGATTGACAGTTGATTTTAAACAAAAGTTTTTCTGTTACACACACACACACACACACACACACACACACACACACACACACACACATAAAACCATATAACTTGAATTTTGATTGCGGTGACATGGTTGATTGCGTGTCATTGTACCCTGACAGCATTGAATGTTGCTCTGAATATCAATCACTGGTGTTTCTTGTCCAGATTTGATTATTTACAGGTTCTGGAATACCACAGATCGAGTACATCAAACAAACAATTATGCATGTCATCGTATCCCAATTGCGTGGATCGATACTCATGATGTCAATCACTGGATTGTTTGGTCCAGATTGTGGAGTATGAGTATGGCGTTAAGCAACAAACAAACAAAAGAAGTTGTTCTGTATCTGTCATGATCTATAGGATTGGTATCAATATATCTGTCACATCTTACGACAATCATAGACACCTTTTACGGCAAGCATGGGTTGCTGAAGACCTTTTCTAACGCAGATCTTCACAGGTCCGCCCTTATGATGTGAGCCATAACACATACGGTGAGACAGATTCTTTTGCTCCATAATCCATGCAGGGTTAGAAACTAACAGTTTTTGTCCACTAGTCCTTATAATGAAAAACCCTTACAATGGGCCAATTTCTACTCGTCCTTAGGATACCTTTACTAATGGGCAGTTTGGTAAGGACTACAGGACTAGTGCCAATTTCTAACGCTGCCATGGTGATTCCTCGGTTATAATTGGTCCCCAGCAACCAATGCTTGAGTTGTGACTGAATGGATTGGCTGATTAAGGCTCTGTGACCTGATTGGTTGTATGTCAATGTATCCCAATGGCTAGTCCTGTGGGTACCCGTGTCCTACTCAGGACGCAGTCAACCCAAGTTACTCATCACAGCCCTAATGTAAATCACTAAAATACTAACCGTTTGACCAACAAATGACCAATACTGTTTATAGCTTTCATTTGACAAAGGTCCTTCTGCTTATCATCATGATAACAAGGGTTACAGGTTACTGTGTTGACATTTGATTGGTTGATACTTTAAGAGCTACATGTTTCTATTCCTGGCTGTCAAAGATCACCCATCGTCTTGTCCATGTGGAGATTGAGTTGTAGATCATACATGACACATGTTGCCATACTGTTGACTCATCATTTTTTATCATTCTTGTGTGAAATTGTACATGCCCCATGGTGCTTGCCTGAGGTCATTATTGCTCCATTTCATCTTGCATGATGATTTAATTTAGGCTTGTTCCAACAGTATCATGTAGACATTCAACTTTAATTTGAGCTTTCCTTCCTCATGTAGCTGACATATTGTGAAGCAACCGAAATGCTGTTAAAAGTGACATTAAGCACTGTTAAAGTACTTAAATCCAACTCACTATTTACTTGATAACTTCATTTTTAAACAGTGCTTATCTTCCAAATTTCAATCAAATAGAGCAACAAGCTGACCTGTAGCATTACGTTAATTAAATTTAGGGAGGCGTGGGTAGGTTACATATTGTGGTCCCTCTTGTTAAATCCTTTAATTGTTGAAGGCAATGCATTATTAGGTATAATAAGTGACTTAATCTACAAGCAACCATTCTTCACCAAACTTTATCTACTTCATCCACACCCAGATATATGAGACAGGTGAGGTTGATGTCCTACTTTTGTGTAGGCAGCTGTCCTTGCAATGCTGGCACCATTAGATTCCAAGAACATTTATGTAGAAGTAAGATAGTGGCAGTTGACCAGCCTAGGTAACTAGACGCAGGTAAACAGCTGACTGGTTGTCACATTCTTCTAGTGAGAGGACCTCATCAGCTGTTCATGATGCCCTACTTAGAGACTGATAAGACTTGTCACAACTGCTGACCTCCACTTCACTGGTTAATACTGGCTTTCTACTGACACATCTGTGTGACACACGTGTGAATACGAGAAATAGCCACCAACTTTGGTAGGTGCAGGTGCTTTCAAATTAGATAAGAAACCTATTGTCAGTTCAAATTATTGTAGTTAATGTGTATATTTGTATGGATCGCCTTTAAATGAAGTGCAATCTGTTTGGAACAGTAATGATGTTAATATATGTGTATCCATGGTATCAGTAACACTATTCTTACATACTATTTAATGACCCAAGTAATTAGTCATCAAACTGTTAATACAGTACAACATATTCACAATTTGATCATGTTAATATGCGACTGTCAGCATGAATATCTCCCTCAACCTACAGATACTGATACAAGTACTAGGAATGGGGGGAATATGTTACCATTAAACTGAACTCATTAAGTTAAATAAATCCTATAACAGTCGTCTCAGACAAATTCTGAAGGGAAATTATAAAAATTCTTCAGCTAAAATTACGGAACTCTGCAGAAATGTCTGTAGTAACAACATAACCATTTCCCCCTACAAAATTGATACACTAATTTTATTTTTTTTAAATTGTTAACCTCTTGCATAAAGACAGGTTTGGTTTAACATGTATAGTATGGTCACAATACAAGAATGTTTTAAAGTGAGATTTATTTATTTCAAATTTCATTTTATTGTAGGATACATATTTTGTAGGTTTGAATCGTACGTGGGCATCATTAGCACATGATTAGAGTACAAAATTTTATAGAAAGTCTTGAACAATAGTGAATTGATTAATAACAAAGACATTTTATGCTTCCGCAATTCTGGATATTAGATTCACACACACTAGTTATTCTGCCATAACAATAGTTGGCATACTGTTTTCATGATTGAAAAATGTTAATAAGATCCCAGCTAACAATAGTAACATCACAAGTACACCTGTGCAACGTCGGCAAACTTTGTATGATATGATGCTCGTTACATTTTATTTGGCATCGATTCACATTTAACCCCACACTGATTGTCCATTGTTGCTCTCGCATTGAAATCAATAAGCAAGCACCCCCAAAGTACGAAGTATTTTTTTTAATTCCTCATAACATTCTTGCTCATCTTCTGGATACAAAACTGCCCCGGTAACAAGCCTGACCAGCTTTCCCTTGCTGCCTGTCATAATACAATACATAAACTTGTTTGTTTCACATTATTTTCTCCTACAGAATAGTCCGGTAATAGTCAGCTGTCCTCTTTACCTTTATGAGTGAGTCTGAGGACTCTGGGTTTTCCACACAAAATGTTGTATATGCATTATAAAGATAGTATCATATCGTGCCTTCTGTATCAAGATATGTATAGTATCATGTGACACCTGTATCGTGACATCCCTAATCATAAACATATATATATATATATACATGATATATGAGGTTTTTGTTAATAGAATGATAACAGTAGTTGTTGTCACCCGAAATGCATATTTTAGCCTGAGCAACCTTCATGAAAAGGATGATAATTATGCTATGTTTATGATGAAGTGTGAATTAAATAGTAGGCCTATATTTATCATTTTTGTTATGATTGATGTAGCATGCATACACAAATGTAGGAATAACATTTATGACTGTGATTGCCCATAGATAACTGTGCGAGAGAACATGTTTAGGCAGGTCTTTCTTCCACATGAGCAAATCTCTTCCTGCTTGTTACTGTTAGATGTCATTAAAAGTATATTAAGATGTGCATGTTTATAATTGTATGTATTTGGATGGAATATGTTCGTAATGTGATGAGTGATTGGCATAATGTGTTACATTCCAGTATGACAATGACACCTATATCGAACAGTGAAATGCTTAATCAGTTTCTGGAGGACCAAGTACAGAATGGAAGTATCAACCAAAGTGACAGCACCAGCATCCCCACAAGCCTACCATCACCCATACAACAAGGTAGGTTGGAGATATAGTGCCCAGTACCACACCACATGGCCCTAGTACCAGGAAAGTTGGCTATATAGTACCCCATGTCCCCAATTCTAGCAAGGTAGCATATATAGTACCATACAACATGTCCCTAGTACCATGGAGCTAGGCTATATCATGTATATAGTACCCCATGTCCCCAATACCAGGGAGGTAGGGTATATAGTACCACACCACATGGCCCTAGTACCATGGAGCTAGGCTATATAGTATCCCATGTTCCCAATACTAGGGAGGTAGGATATATAGTACCATACCACATGTCCCCAATACCAGGGAGGTAGGGTATATAGTACCACACCGCATGGCCCTAGTACCATGGAGCTAGGCTATATAGTATCCCATGTTCCCAATACTAGGGAGGTAGGATATATAGTACCATATAATATGACCTCAATACTAGGATATATAGTACCATACCACATCCCCAATACTAGGAAGGAAGGATATATACCCTGATATACATGTCAGAGTACCCCATGTCCCCAATTCTAGCAAGGTAGGATATATAGTACCATACCACATGTCCCCAATACTAGGAAGGTAGGATATATAGTACCATACCACATGACCCCAATAATAGGGAGGTAGGATATATAGTACCATACCACATGACCCCAATACTAGGGAGGTAGGATATAAGGTACCATACCACATGACCCCAATACCAGGTAGGTCGGAAAAATAGTACCCCTTGTCCGTAATACAAGGAGGTTATTTAGTACCATGTTACTATACCCAAATACTAGGAGGGTAGCCCATATAGTACCATACCACATGACCCCGATACCAGGTAGGTAGGATATATAGTACAATACCACATGACCCCATCACCAGGTAGGTAGCAAAAATAGTACCCCTTGTCCCTAATACTAGGAGGTATGTTATATAGTACCATTTTACTAGACCCAAATACTAGGAGGGTAGCCTATATAGTACCATACCACATGACCCCAATACCAGGTAGGCAGGATATATAGTACCATACCACATGACCCCAATACCAGGTAGGTTGGATACATAGTACCATACCACATGACCCCAGTACCAGGTAGGTTGGATATATAGTACCATCCCACATGACCCTAGTACCAGGTAGGTAAGAAAAATAGTACCCCTTGTCCCTAATACTAGTCCCTAAAATGTGAATAACAGCAAGAAAATAGCTATAGGATCCAACTGGATCCCTAGGACCCTGTGTACATTCCCAACCAGTGATGACTGTTTGATGTGATGTTGTGTTCAATGTTGTTATGTTGTTTGTGTTGTCACAGCCGCCCCCCAGGCTCTCCTCGAGCAGGACCTCATCACAAACTTGCTGCAGCAATCTAACGGTGACCAGAGGCCCCAGCAAATCAACACCCAGGTCCTCAACTCACATCCCACAATCTGTGCAGGTATTATCACCATAGTGATAATACTGGGGACCTTGCAGTAGTCATAGCAGTTGTATAGATACCATTTTACGTCTTTATGATTCGCATTTACAGAAGTTTTTAAGGGATTGTTTATCATGTGTTTACTGTTCATAATTTTTTAATAGTCTTCTGTGCAAATGAATTAAAGATATTGTCACTATTCAATCCTTACACCTGTTTGTGTAGTAGAAGTGTTGAGATTGATTATTGATCTGATGATGTAGCAGATACATACCTTTTTATTCAAAATCCTGCTTTATCTTTAAGGAATCCAAATAGGTTAGCCATACTTGACAGGTTCCAGAAAGATTCAGTTCAAACTAAATTGCATTATCTTGAAGAACTATTATGAAAACGATTCTGTTTCCTATGTTTTAGATTTACAAGATGGAAGTCAGCTGTTCAGTAACCTATTGAAGCCTCCTGATACAAGTGCTCCTCCCAATAACACTTCCATACAGTCTGTCAGTGAGTACTACAGTCAGTCAGTAACCTATTGACACTCCCTGATGCCAGTGCCCCACCCAGTAACGTCCATACAGTCTGTCAGTGAGTACCACAGTCAGTCTGTTACCTATTGACACTCCCTGATGCCAGTGCCCCACCCAGTAACACCCATACAGTCTGTCAGTGAGTACTACAGTCAGTCAGTAACCTACTGACACTCCCAGTAACATCCATACAGTCTGTCAGTGAGTACCACAGTCAGTCTGTAACCTATTGACACTCCCTGATGCCAGTGCCCCACCCAGTAACACCCATACAGTCTGTCAGTGAGTACTACAGTCAGTCAGTAACCTACTGACACTCCCAGTAACATCCATACAGTCTGTCAGTGAGTACCACAGTCAGTCTGTAACCTATTGACACTCCCTGATGCCAGTGCCCCACCCAGTAACACCCATACAGTCTGTCAGTGAGTACCACAGTCAGTCTGTGACCTATTGACACTCCCTGATGCCAGTGCCCCACCCCACACCTTTTCAGTTTGTCATTTAAATTTGTGTTAAAAATCACCTATGGGAAATCTTGTTATTAAACTCAGATGTGTTGTGATTTCAATTGCGTCTTTCACTACTTGAGTTTGAAATTTGAATCGAGAACTTTGTCAAAATAGTATTCAAAGCATAAACTGGAATAGAAGTCGCCAGTTTGAAACTAGTGTTTGAAGCTAGAGAAAGCTGCTTTCTGATTGGCTAATTTTAGACTTCTTGTTAGTCTTTTCATTGATAGGTCAGTGTTCGCGAAGAGGTTGTTCTGACATGACCTGTAATGGGATGTCCTCACACATTGTTTAGCGGTAGCGAGAACTAAGATTTGATTCGAATGAGATTGGACTGAACATGTGTTTCAGATCTCTCTGAACAGAGTATAACGGAAGTGCTGCAGCAGATGTTGTCCTCCAGCCAGCCCAAGATGACCCAGGAGACGGGTCACACAGAAACTGTACCAATGATAGCCACCACTTTTTCTTGTACCAATACCAGCAATTCAGGCTTGTTAAATAATGTGTTTTCAACAGAAGCTGTTACCATGGTGACAACAAACAGCATCACAACTGGAACATTCACGGTCAATCCAACAACCTCTGTGCCAATGACAAATTCATGTATTATAAATGTACTTCCTAGTGATGCTAATTTGATACCTGTGAAAAGTGAGCCTGTTCCACCAGGAGGCCAGGTTGCATGTGATTTCACTGTGAAATCCTGTGAAGCTCCTCATCCACCATCAACTGAAACTGGGAACCAGAGTCAGCAGCCAACTATTACTACTAGAATGGTTAATAATGCATCTTCAAACGACATGAAAATAGTTCCCAGTAAGTGAAATGTGTTTGAACTCCGTCGGTCCTTCCAAGGACATTTCTTTGTGTGACCTATAACTTGAAAACTACTGCATAGATTGGGTGAACACTTTCTATACCTATAGGAGAGGTGCAGTGCAAAGTTTGATTTAGATAGGTGTATGTTTTCATGTTTTGAGCCTTGCTCACTGTTTGTCTTATTGTTATATCACTATGACTTTAGATGGCTGCTGTTTGTATTTTGAGTCAACAAACACATCTCAGTATATTTGTTCAAGCATGTAAAACAATAAGACAGTTTTAGAGAAAGGAATAGCTTGCAAACCATCTCTAGATGTCTCAAACTATTGTTACCCTTCTTCTTCCTTCTAGATCCGATGCCGGGGCAACAGCAACGTATGGACCTTCCCGCTGACCTGGCGAACGTGAAACTACAAATGTTCTCACCTGTCTCCTCCTTGCCATCAGGTAATATAGGTCCGCAATCTGTCCTTGAGTCCATCACAAACAGACAAACCAATACAGAGGCCCCGACGTCTGATCCACCTGCCTCCTTCAGCCAGAGTCCTTTCACAGCCAGCTCCAACCTAGTCACGACTAACACCACAAACTTTCTCAATGTGGAAATCCCGGACCAGCAGCAATCCACCATTTCCAGTGAGATTCGGGAGATACTGATGATGGACACAAGTAAACAGGATTTATCGCTACAAATGAACACTGGCCGAAGTGAGCATTCGATGCTGAGACAAATGTTGACTAATAACGAAGTTGACAATAGTAGTCTGAGCCCAAGCCCTGTGTCGAGCCCTGAAGAAAATGTCCCGGAATCAGCTTCCTCAATATCATCTCCCAATAGCGTTTTCCATGACCCTACCAGTCAGCTGACACTCATCAACAGGTCTGCCGAACTGCATCTACAAGATGACGATGCTGCCAATGATTTGTGGAATACAGCAACTTTCAAGCAGGACCCTGTCGAAGCTGACGTCCCCAACAAAGTCCAGAAGTCCTCACACAACTCTGATGCACACACAAGTCTACAGTCGGAGATATCGGTTGAGAAGTTGTTTGATGCAGGAGGGGCAGAATCCACGATGAACTTTAAGTTTACCAAGTTTGGACAGGAAAACCAAGCTTTGTTTACTTTTGGTTCGAACACTCAGACTGTTAGCCCGAGTCCTGCAGACGCCAGGTATTATAGGCTTGGGCATTTGTCGGGCATTTGTTTGTGTAGAGTTGTGTAGCATAAGGATTGCAGTGACGCCATAGTCAGCCTCAGATTGTATTAACTTCGTAGTTTGTGCTATAAAGCTGTTGAATATGTTCGCTTGTTCTGTTATTGTGTTGTTAGTTGATGTAGTGATCAGGTTAGAAGATAACAAATGACTATAATTTCATAACTCTTTTAATAATGAAGGTAATTATTTTCTTAGATAATGCTTAAAATGCATGGATGGATGACGTAATAGTTTCTCATCTTGAGATGATTTCTAACAGCATCTTTGCCTCTCATAAGCATGATGAGTCATTTTAAAAACTAAGTCCAGAATTGATGCCTATGTTGGTTGGTTCCTCACCAATATTTATTATCATCTGTTCCTCTCTTGTCTCTATAGGCCAGCTCAGCACCTCACTCCAGCACCGACAGAAACTGGTTCCCTCAAGTCTATGGCCCCGCCTATACAGAGGCCTCGCAAGGTGAAGGACACTGGGTTGGGGGCACAGTTCCCTGCTCGTACCCAGCAGTATGAGTTGCGGATAATATCGCAGCCGGAGGAGCAGCACCGAGCACGTTACCTGACCGAGGGCAGTCGTGGGGCAGTCAAGGACCGTTCCCAGCAGGCACATCCTGTCATAAAGGTTGGTCTTTTTGTTCCCACCGCCGTGCTTGCGTGCACAGTAGGGGATCTACTATGATGCTCCATGCATCCCATAGTTGTTTGTGAGTTAAGTCCACAACTTAAAAGATACTCAAGACTGAGTTTAAGAATGGTGCCCTTAATTATTTATTCCAGAGAAGAGGACTTTAGTGTGTATTAATTTCCCTTTTAATCATTTTTTTCTGATGGCATAAAGTGACTGTAGGGCCTATCTCTTCTTAAGGATTTAATGGACCCTTTTTTTAGATATGTTCACAGCTTTATGATATATATCACTACTATAGGGATAAATTGTTTGATAGGCATTACTTAGAAGTTGACGGATGACAAGGTAGATACAATTTTTATGGATAACAACTTCTTTGATAATGTAAAAAGAGATGTTTCGGTATAGATCCTTATACTTTTGTCAAGAAACGTCGCTTTTTACAGTATTAAAGAAGTTCTTTTCGATAAAAACTGTGTCTACCTTCACTTGACAACGGTATAAGGATCTACCTTGTACTATGGGGATAGTGACAACGCTGTGTTCTTGTGTTCGTATGGATCTAATAACTTTATAAGAACAATTTTAAGATGATATGATTTCCTGAAAAATCTTCAATGATCTTCAACCAGACTGAATCCTTCCCCTGTGTTCACAAGCTGACCTGTGACAATCAGGGTTAGAATTGGCCTGCAGACACCCATACTTGTTGTAGGTGGGGACCAGTGGGATCCGGTGGTCACACTCACTGACTTGGTGGATGCATGTCATCGATCCCAGTTGTAGAGTGATGCTCATGATATCCATCACTGGATTGTCTGGTCAAGACTTGATTATTTACAAACCGCTGTCATATAGCTGGGATATTGCTGAGTGCAGCGTTAAATAACAAACAAACACAAGCCAGATGTAAATGACCAGATAAAAGTGAACACACCTGAATACAAAGATTTTAACTGGTGACAGACTGCAATGACACAACAGTATTGGGAAAGAAATACTTTATTTATGAGCTCTTAATAACCATTTCAAGTTAAATATATTTCCAAGTAGCATTCTTGGCACTTACAGTTGAGATGCTAGATTGTAATTCCTGTAAATCTTTAAGCTATTGCGAACTAATTTTGTCCTTGGTGTTTGATATTAACCTTGAACTTTGACCTTGCAGCTTATTGGCCACAGCGACATTGTGAGTCTCCAGGTGTTTGTGGGTAATGAGACTGGGAGGGTGAAGCCTCATGGCTTCTACCAAGCCTGCAAAGTGTGTGGCAAGAACTCCACCCCCTCTAGGGAGAAGGAAATAGATGGCACTGTGGTTATAGAAACGGAAATGACACCAGCAAGTGAAATGACAGTCAGGTACTAAGTTTGTTTTATGTTCAACAGGAAGTATTGCTTATTGCATGTATTGGGTATGCCAGGTTCTAATATGAAATAAACATGTGATTCTAGATGTCCCCACAGAGGACATGGTTACAATTGGGCCCCAGCACTCTGTCTGTTGTCTTTCATAAGAAGTGGCTCGACACGCCGCGAAGACCCAGGTTCGATTCCCATCATGGGTACAATGTGTGAAGCCCATTTCTGGTGTCCCCCACCGTGATATTGCTGGAATATTGCTAAAAGCGGCGTAAAACCATACTCACTCACTCACTCACTCACTCACTCACTCACTCACTCACTCACTCACTCACTCACTCACTCACTCACTCACTCACTCACTCACTCACTCATAAGAAGTGACTAAGTTGGATGCATTGGTCATGCTCAGCATAGCTCAGTGACTTGTTTGATTGTGTGGCATTCTGACCCCAGTGATGTAGCTCATTAGATCAACCACTGGTTTGTGTTGGGTAGACCGATCTTTTACAGGCAGATGCAATACAGAATAAATTGCTGATTGTGCAACAAGCAAAACAAAACAAATTTTACATAATTTTACTGTAGAAAATAGCTTTCATGTATTCACTGAACAATCGACAGATGACTCATGCTAATGTTGTAAAAACTGTTGGTATGGATTTCTACAACACCAACTCTCTTCTCTTAAGTGTGGACTGTGTTGGCATCCTTAAACTCCGTAATGCGGATGTGGAGAAGAGAATTGGAGTTGCTAAAGCTCGGGCAAAGAAGAAAAACAGCACAAGGGCACGGCTGATATTCCGAGTTACCTTCCAAAAACCTGACGGCAACTTCCAGACACTTCAAGTGGCATCATCACCCATCATCTGCAGTAAGTACATCAGGCAGTGTGTGTGCCTCTTGCATGAACATTCCAGCACACAGATTGCCAAACAACAGTCTATGAATTATGACAACTGTGTGAGAATTACTTAATCGAACATAAGAGTAGACTGAGAGTAACTATCGGCAAGGCAACTCAGCACTGGATCAATCGTTTGGTTCTTGTAAGAGTAGACTGAGGGTAACTATCGGCAAGGCATCTCAGCACTGAATCGATCGTTTGGTTTTTGTAAGAGTAGACTGAGAGTAACTATCCGCAAGGCAACTCAGCACTGGATCGATCGTTTGGTTCTTGTAAGAGTAGACTGAGGGTAACTATCGGCAAGGCATCTCAGCACTGGATCGATCGTTTGGTTTTTATAAGAGTAGACTGAGAGTAACTATCGTCAAGGCAACTCAGCACTGGATCGATCGTTTGGTTTTTGTAAAAGTAGACTGAGAGTAACTATCCGCAAGGCAACTCAGCACTGGATCGATCGTTTGGTTTTTGTAAGAGTAGACTGAGAGTAACTATCCGCAAGGCAACTCAGCACTGGATCGATCGTTTGGTTTTTGTAAGAGTAGACTGAGAGTAACTATCGGCAAGGCAACTCAACACTGGATCGATCGTTTGGTTTTTGTAAGAGTAGACTGAGAGTAACTATCGGCAAGGCAACTCAGCACTGGATCGATCGTTTGGTTTTTGTAAGAGTAGACTGAGGGTAACTATCCGCAAGGCAACTCAGCACTGGATCGATCGTTTGGTTCTTGTAAGAGTAGACTGAGAGTAACTATCGTCAAGGCAACTCAGCACTGGATCAATTGTTTGGTTTTTGTAAGAATAGACTGAGAGTAACTATCGTCAAGGCAACTCAGCACTGGATCGATCGTTTGGTTTTTGTAAGAGTAGACTGAGAGTAACTATCCGCAAGGCAACTCAGCACTGGATCGATCGTTTGGTTTTTGTAAGAGTAGACTGAGAGTAACTATCGGCAAGGCAACTCAGCACTGGATCGATCGTTTGGTTTTTGTAAGAGTAGACTGAGAGTAACTATCGTCAAGGCAACTCAGCACTGGATCGATCGTTTGGTTCTTGTAAGAGTAGACTGAGAGTAACTATCGGCAAGGCAACTCAGCACTGGATCGATCATTTGGTTTTTGTAAGAGTAGACTGAGAGTAACTATCGGCAAGGCAACTCAGCACTGGATCGATCGTTTGGTTTTTGTAAGAGTAGACTGAGAGTAACTATCGGCAAGGCAACTCAGCACTGGATCGATCGTTTGGTTTTTGTAAGAGTAGACTGAGAGTAACTATCGTCAAGGCAACTCAGCACTGGATCGATCGTTTGGTTTTTGTAAAAGTAGACTGAGAGTAACTATCGGCAAGGCAACTCAGCACTGGATCGATCGTTTGGTTTTTGTAAGAGTAGACTGAGAGTAACTATCCGCAAGGCAACTCAGCACTGGATCGATCGTTTGGTTTTTGTAAGAGTAGACTGAGAGTAACTATCGGCAAGGCAACTCAACACTGGATCGATCGTTTGGTTTTTGTAAGAGTAGACTGAGAGTAACTATCGGCAAGGCAACTCAGCACTGGATCGATCGTTTGGTTTTTGTAAGAGTAGACTGAGAGTAACTATCGGCAAGGCAACTCAGCACTGGATCAATTGTTTGGTTTTTGTAAGAATAGACTGAGAGTAACTATCGTCAAGGCAACTCAGCACTGGATCGATCGTTTGGTTTTTGTAAGAGTAGACTGAGAGTAACTATCCGCAAGGCAACTCAGCACTGGATCGATCGTTTGGTTTTTGCAAGAGTAGACTGAGAGTAACTATCGGCAAGGCAACTCAACACTGGATCGATCGTTTGGTTTTTGTAAGAGTAGACTGAGAGTAACTATCTGCAAGGCAACTCAGCACTGGATCGATCGTTTGGTTTTTGTAAGAGTAGACTGAGAGTAACTATCGGCAAGGCAACTCAGCACTGGATCGATCGTTTGGTTTTTGTAAGAGTAGACTGAGAGTAACTATCGTCAAGGCAACTCAGCACTGGATCGATCGTTTGGTTCTTGTAAGAGTAGACTGAGAGTAACTATCGGCAAGGCAACTCAGCACTGGATCAATTGTTTGGTTTTTGTAAGAATAGACTGAGAGTAACTATCATCAAGGCAACTCAGCACTGGATCGATCGTTTGGTTTTTGTAAGAGTAGACTGAGAGTAACTATCCGCAAGGCAACTCAGCACTGGATCGATCGTTTGGTTTTTGCAAGAGTAGACTGAGAGTAACTATCGGCAAGGCAACTCAACACTGGATCGATCGTTTGGTTTTTGTAAGAGTAGACTGAGAGTAACTATCGGCAAGGCAACTCAGCACTGGATCGATCGTTTGGTTTTTGTAAGAGTAGACTGAGAGTAACTATCGGCAAGGCAACTCAGCACTGGATCGATCGTTTGGTTTTTGTAAGAGTAGACTGAGAGTAACTATCGGCAAGGTAACTCAGCACTGGATCGATCGTTTGGTTCTTGTAAGAGTAGACTGAGAGTAACTATCGGCAAGGCAACTCAGCACTGGATCGATCATTTGTTTTTTGTAAGAGTAGACTGAGAGTAACTATCCGCAAGGCAACTCAGCACTGGATCGATCGTTTGGTTTTTGTAAGAGTAGACTGAGAGTAACTATCGGCAAGGCAACTCAGCACTGGATCGATCGTTTGGTTTTTGTAAGAGTAGACTGAGAGTAACTATCGTCAAGGCAACTCAGCACTGGATCGATCGTTTGTTTTTTGTAAAAGTAGACTGAGAGTAACTATCCGCAAGGCAACTCAGCACTGGATCGATCGTTTGGTTTTTGTAAGAGTAGACTGAGAGTAACTATCCGCAAGGCAACTCAGCACTGGATCGATCGTTTGGTTTTTGTAAGAGTAGACTGAGAGTAACTATCGGCAAGGCAACTCAACACTGGATCGATCGTTTGGTTTTTGTAAGAGTAGACTGAGAGTAACTATCGGCAAGGCAACTCAGCACTGGATCGATCGTTTGGTTTTTGTAAGAGTAGACTGAGAGTAACTATCCGCAAGGCAACTCAGCACTGGATCGATCGTTTGGTTCTTGTAAGAGTAGACTGAGAGTAACTATCGGCAAGGCAACTCAGCACTGGATCGATTGTTTGGTTTTTGTAAGAGTAGACTGAGAGTAACTATCGGCAAGGCAACTCAGCACTGGATCGATCGTTTGGTTTTTGTAAGAGTAGACTGAGAGTAACTATCCGCAAGGCAACTCAACACTGGATCGATTGTTTGGTTTTTGTAAGAATAGACTGAGAGTAACTATCGGCAAGGCAACTCAGCCCTGGATCGATCGTTTGGTTTTTGTAAGAGTAGGTACATATATTATTTTGAGCAGCTACTGCTAGTTGCCATGTATGCCAGATCTTTGTAAGACAGTGCAGTGTGTGTCATGTCTGTGAGGAGCCCTTGGGACAGTTTCCTGGTCAGTGTGTGTTTCAAGTGATTAGCCCTTGCCAAAGTAGCCAACATCTAAGACCTTTATTACTTTGGGGTTTCCTCCAATGTTAAGCTGATGCACTATGATCTAACTGAAATAGTTGCATTTTACCTCAGTCACTATGCAAGTCATTCCAAAATCAGGCAGATTAGCCCTACTGAATCTTGATGCTATATGTGAGAAGTATGTGTGACAACTACTGAATCTTGATGTGATCTTGATGAATCTTGAATCTTGATGTGAGATTTACATGTGGGTGTGTGTTATTATTAGCCCAGCCAGTGGGTCAGCCTGAGATCAGCCGGATGAGTCTGGAAGAGGTGCCGACAACTGGAGGTCAGGACCTGTTCATCATCGGGAAGAACTTCCTGAAGGGCACCCAGGTGAAGTTCCAGGAGATCTCTGTGGAGGATGGCAAGACGCTGTGGGAGAGGGAGGCTGAAATCGACCAAGAGTATTTCCAACAGGTAGGCACAGAAACAAATATTGTTTGGTAAGAATTTAAGATGCAACCATCATGTTTGTCTGTTCAATCTTTCACAATAATTGCACTGATATGACATAACGCTGCTCATGGCTGCTTCCAATGAGTTAGATAATGGAACATAGGTGTGAAGTAGGTAAACAGCATGAAGCAAATGTTTTAGTGATACTTACCAAACATATTTCCCCCGATAGCCATGGATAAAATGTATACACTAGCATCTAATAGAATGACCTCTGGGAATTCTGGGTATAGGTCCCCAGCAACCTGTGCGTGTCATAGGAGGCGTCTAACCCGTGAAGATCCAGGGTAGAATGGGTCTTCAGCAACCCATGCTTGCCATAAAAGGTGTCTATGCTTGTCGTACAAGGTGACTAACGGGATTGGGTGGTCAGGCTCGCTGACTTTGTTGATGCATGTCATTGTATCCAATTGTGCGGATCTATGATCATGACGTCCATCGCTGGATCATCTGGTCCAGACTTGATTATTTACAGACAGCCGTCATATAGCTGGAATATTGCTGAGGGGGTGTTAAACAACAAAGAAAACCATCTATCTAATAAACATCAACTATAATAGATGTGAGGTCAAAGCACCTGTGGCTATGCCAATATCTACTTGCAGACACATTTAATCTGCAAGATTCCTGAGTACCACCTGAAGAGCATCTCGAAACCCATCTTGGTGCAGATCATCATCCACTGTCGAGGGAAGATCAGTGACCCCCAGGAGTTCTATTACAACCCATGTAAGTACAGCAGTTACCTCCCCTTGTTCTTCCCAGCCCCTACTGGCCATAACCTCCTTCATACTGTGAGCGGCTTGTTGTCTTACTTTTTAAAATAGATCTAAAACATTTCTGTCTATCAACACAGTAAATCTAAATGTAGTGTTGACCATTCAACGTTGAGCATATGTGATAACATACATATGTGTACTATCCTAGACGTGTGACATCCTTACCCCATTGACTTTTCAATTAATTATTTTTCAAATGGTAATTTGTAAATCATGGGGTTTGAAATTGGAATGAATTCATGTTGGTATCTATGTGCTATGAAATTCCCCCTTCTATATATGTGTGTGGGGTAGGATTGGTTATCAACACTCCCATTGGTACCCAAATAACAGGGGTCTCCATAGCAACAAAATACTTTTGCCATAAAGCAGGCACTTGATGCCAAGATGAATCCATTCCGAGACAGCTTCTTTTAGACACATGTATGCCCTTACAGTATTAATGAGGGATGCTTGCTATCACAGCATTGCCATATACAAGCATGAGCTTCTGCCCCCTATGGCGCTAAATACCGCCATACTTTGGCTCCAAAGTAATCCTTCTGCAATGTTTTCCTGCACAAGGACAACTGTTTGGCATCGGAATTGGTAAGGTTATGCGTGTGTCAGCAAGGTCAGTTTGTCCCAGCAAGGCTCAGGCAGGTTCTACGTCATCGAGATGTAAGGTCAGGAGAAGTGGGGATGCATCCATCACTGGGTAGGTCTTCAGCATGTGTTGTGGCTATAGAACACTGTATGCTTGGGTGTGGTTTCAATGGTTTGGAACGTAATCAGATCTTGAAACAAGTCGACCGCACGTCAGTTTGAAATAGGGAGGTGAAAAGTTCTTCATAAGACCATGTAATTGTTTTCGTTTGTGAATGTATCTTATCTCAAGATATCGGTTGTGTAGTCTGCTTGAGCCTTAGCTGATCATGTGTACCCAGACAAAACAAAACTGGCATCCATTGCTTAAGCAATTCATATGCTCATGTTATACAATGTTAACCTGAAATGTTAGATTTCAGCCTGTAAATTCTAGCTGCTAAGTATCTCCCTTGCTGTTAAATAGGAAAAACACTTTTGGTACTTTTCACACAGATTAAGACAAGGGAATTGTTCTGGATGCTGGAGCATGTTTTGGCTATAAGGTTCATAAATTAATCAGTTTCCTGAACAGTTCCGTGGACTCTCTGTTGACATAAAATTATGCCATAAATGGAAAATATAAAACTTAAATGTTTTACATGACATACTTTTTCTGAATACACCTTCGCAGATTCACGTGTACAACAGTAGACAGTAACTGACTATTTGGAACGGCAAATTTGCCATTTGACCAGTTTTAAAGAAAAGGGAGAGACTTGGCAGTCTAGGTTGCTGAGCTCTTGGATGCCTTGATCTGATCTTATTAAAAGATCGATAGTTGGACGTTGATGTTAGCGTCATTGGAGAGATGGGAGTCTCATGCTACGGAGGTACTGTAAGAACAGATTTTGTTGTTTATTCTTTATTTGAAGCGTGAGACATGTGGTTGGGCAGGGGACTATAGGAGTTTGGCCTCCACCTCGAAAACAATCTTCCAAATAGGTCTCACTCATGGAAAGCAATTCTTTCAACCATGTGTCTCATTGACATGGCTCTGTTGTGAAGCAACTATTCCATATTTTCAAAAAAAGGTGACTTTCCATGTAAATGTGACTCCATTTTGAGAAGCCAAGTGATCTATGTAAAATCCTGTTGGTGATGTGTACTAAAGCAGTGGTCGCAATGGGTGAGTGATGTCTGTCATGCTCATTCCTAGCCATGATTGATGTTGAAGCAGCTGAGGTTTCCTCCTGAGAGCATGGGAAGGGGAAACACCACAATACATATGCATGACAGTGTCATATTCTTTGGCTCTGACAACATGTTGTTTTTCTGTCTGAAACACATCACTCTAAATACTAAATGTAAGCATGTGGAATGCAGGTAGTTAGAGGTTACCTGAAACAATGTCTCTGATCAACTGTTAATACAACTATATCATAACCTTGATATGAGTATCTAATAACCAGATTTCTCAAATAGTGTGCCATACTTTACTCTAGTTGTCTAAACAAACTTTACTGAACATGCAGAATAATAATGTGTCAGTCAAACCCCATAGTATTCTTCTTTAGCTACATCTATTTCTCAACTTATTGTATCTGCTTGAGGATTTTACAAAGATCTATTCAAATTGCAAGTCCGTAAATATTATTGTCTAATAAACATGGCATAAGACAGGTGGACTTCCTTGCACTACACTCATGGACAGTGATAACTCATAAATAACCAGTCCTTAAGAAAATTCTATAGCCGGAAACTTTTAGATTTGAACATATTTAAAGTGAGAGATTTTCAATGGGATGTTGAGGTTAAATTGTTAAACACGGTAATGTTAAGAGTTTAAGAATATTATATATATGGAGTAAAGTATATTCATGTTAAAAATCTTTGAGTATATACATGGACACAATTTGTTTAAAGGCTATTAATTCACAACGACAACCTACTCAAAGCATTGGGCTAATGTCACCTGTGGAGTTATGTCACCAGTAGATTTGTTGATGCCGAAGTAACATTTGAAGCCCCTGCACTTTCTGTTTCAAAAGTCAAATTAGCGTTGTCAAATATACAGGTAACATAGCTCTACATTAAAATGTTGGTATGTTTTTCAAGATTGGTTTTGCATTGCAAGGAGCAAGGGAGATAACTCAACAAATTATAAAATTGTCTGATTATCCACCCGAGACCTTTTCATTTGTAAGGTAGGAGTTGCGATTGTCTGAGCATTAAGGGCAGTTGTGGAACAGCAGTTTCATTAGAAGAGATATGGGGTTTGACTGTCAGGTAAAAATTAATATCCTGCAAGTGATAAGTAATGCTAAACATTGTTGTCCGAGGAAATGATGTTATTAGCATGTGTGCGCATCTGAATCCAAAACACTGAATGTTATCTTCTCTGAATGTCTGTTGTGGCATGTTGTAACCAACTAACATGCTGTGTTCACCCAAACTACTCCGAGGTAATGGTTCCAGCCAATCCTGCCAAGTACATTGCTATGACGGGACTCTGCTTGCTACACAACCTGCCCCTGCCCCCCACTGTGTTTCATGCTACTTATATATCCAAACCTTTGTATATGGGGGGTAAAGGGGAATCTTAATCATCTTGTAATCTTCCCTTAGACTTCCGGATCCCAGGCTGAATTGCCTTTGTGTTCTGACCTCTTGAGGTCAAAGGTGAAAGTGCAAGTGTTCGTTGTTCTTCTTCCATGTGAGTCGCCTCACTAGGATGCAGGTGGATCACTAGGGATGCTATCTCCTCACATACCCTATTCCATTGCCTCAAACCATGTACTAACATCACCTCTTTATGGAAACGCAGAGAAAACCTCATCAACACGTTCTTTAAGATAAACTTTCGATCACAGGAAACAAACATCATTTTGTTTAGTCTGTCAGGTCTAACTGTCTTAACGAAATGTCTTTTCAAAAACTAAATCCAAATCACTCCTTTTCCTCGTCTATGTGACCTATGCTTCTATGGATGTGTACTACCTTTCTAGTCAGTCCGTTCATCTTTGGCTTACCTTCGTCTGTGCTGGAAACAGGTTAATCTATAGAGGTGCTCCAAATGGAACCAATATGATGCAAGTCAGGACAGGATTCTGTGTCTCCACAGTTGGACGCCAGGCCCCTTCCACAAGCATTGGCAATTCTCTTTCCCACCCACCCGCTCTGCAGTACACCAATGACACCCGATGTTTGTCACAACACACACATTGTACACATTACAAAAGTATTTCAAGAAATTATTGAGAATTTGTGGTGTTGGTAGTGGTACACATCCAATATATTAGGTGATGCAGTTTAACTTACCTGCAGTAACTAGAGTTGTCTCCCTTGTCAAAGCGGCTCAGTTTATAGCATTTGAAGGAAGTGGATTAAAACGAGTGTTTGCAGTGAGCAATAAGTTGCCAGACTTTGTCATTTTTCAGAGAGACATTGCATAGAATTCTCAATAATTTCAAGAAATACTAAACATGCTACAATTGACACGAACACTCTGACTCTAATTGGTTAATTGTGTATCAGTCCTGTCACTAGAAGATGTTCTTGGTTATTTGTTTCCTATGGTAACAATGACAAGGTTTGAAATTTACATTTGATGTTTCAGTAGTCAGACCGCTTTTGGTTGGAAACCGATTTGATACTCTTTGCATTCTTCTTCTTTTAATTATCCTGAATCTTATCTTTCATTACATGAACTTTTTTTTCTATTTTTTGATTTGATCAAAACCAAATTCCTTCTCTTTGTGACTCCGGGCCCCGTTCCACAAAGCGACCTTAGCACCACGACAGTCGTATGTCTATGTTAAAGTATGGAAGTTACGATCATCGTCTTAACGCTACAATTGCTTTGTGGAACGGGGCCCTAGCATGGCAAGTTGTAACCAGGCAGCTGTTCGTAACACATGTTTATGTGGTCAGCTTTTTACTGCTTTTGCTATGTGAGTTCCAATAACTCTTAAACTAATTTTAACAAGTTATTTTGGTCATTTGCGCTTCGATGAAATGATTTTTATTTCATAAAAATGCAAATATCAAACTTTGTGTTCATTGTTACAATTGGTTGTTTGTGTTGGTAGTCACTGATCAGGGAGCAGCTCTTTGTTCAATTTGAGGATGTCTAACTTTAATGACACAACTGACCTTTCATGTTCTTGATAAATATCAAATATACATGTAATGAAAATGGTTTTGCTTCATAACTGTGTCCTTCACAAAAACAAGTGATAGGTATAATACTGTAACTAGCATGATGTCAGCACTCACACAGCCCACCCAAGTGAAATGTGTTCTGTTGATGTAGGGGTGTAGGAAAAGAAGGGAATTGTTCGAAATTATATATTCTGCCGGGAGGGGCATAAAAATGTCATTCAGGGTAGATTATCCGTTTGCTTATATGGTAGTTTTTGTAAAAATATATGTCATCTGGAACACAGCTTGTAGGAGGAGAGGGGGGGATGTCATACGAGATGCAGCTTGTGGGTAGTGGGAGTGGATGTCATACAGGATGCAAGTTGTGGGTAGTGGGAGGGGAGGGGATGTCACACAGGATGCAAGTTGTAGGTAGTGGGAGGGGAGGGGATGTCACACAGGATGCAGCTTGTGGGTAGTGGGAGGGGAGGGGATGTCACACAGGATGCAGCTTGTGGGTAGTGGGAGGGGAGGGGATGTCACACAGGATGCAAGTTGTAGGTAGTGGGAGGGGAGGGGATGTCATATGGGACACAGCTTGTGGGATGAGTGAGAGCACACTTCATGAGCTCCTGCCCCCTGATGCTGACATTTGTGTGTTGATAACCATAGCAGTCTGGGAACCCGCACTAATCTGTTTCTTTGTCCACTTGAAGTGCCGACCCAACAAGTGGAAGTTCCAATGGAAACAGATCAGAGTCAGAGCAAGAATGCCTTGCCATGTGTTTCACCAGGTGAGTAGTTCTGCCATGCTTAGTTAGAACATGCATTGTGAGAGCATGCTCAGTGCTCAGGTTGAACATGCTTAGTTAGAACATGCTAAGTTGAACATGCATGGTTAGAACATGCATAGTCAGAACATGCATTGTTAGAGCATGCTCAGTGCTTAGGTTGAACATGCTCAGTTAGAACATGCTTAGTTAGAACATGCATAGTTGAACACGCATTGTTAGAACATGCATGATTAGAACATGCATGATTAGAACATGCTCAGTTTGAACATGCATAGTTGAACATGCATAGTTAGAACATGCATAGTTAGAACATGCTCAGTTTGAACATGCATAGTTTGAACATGCATAGTTAGAACATGCATAGTTGAACATGCATAGTTAGAACATGCATAGTTGAACATGCAGTTAGAACTTGCAGTCAGAACATGTATAGTTAGAACATGCATAGTTAGAACATGCATAGTTTGAACATGCATAGTTAGAACATGCTCAGTTTGAAAATGCATAGTTAGAACTTGCAGTTTGAACATGCATAGTTGAACATGCATAGTTAGAACATGCATAGTTGAACATGCATAGTTAGAACATGCATAGTTGAACAAGCATAGTTAGAACTTGCAGTCAGAACATGCATTGTTAGAGCATGCATAGTTAGAACATGCTCAGTTTGAACATGCATAGTTAGAACATGCATACATAGTTGAACATGCATAGTTAGAACATGCTCAGTTTGAACATGCATAGTTAGAACATGCATGGTTAGAATGTGCGTTGAGCATGTGAAATGTGGGTACTGTTTTTAATCTGTGGTGAATCCTGTTTTCTTTTCAATGTCATCCTTTCCCATCAATTCTTTTTGAAAGATGAGTATTTAAAAATATATTAGAGGAGCCCCAAGTTTTTATTTGTATTGTGTTTCATTTGCTTAGTAGTAATGGCATGATATGTTTCATGAACAATGATAAAATTGATTTTGAAAAGAAAAACTTGCAGAAAACATAGAGTCATAGAGTCACTGGAAGCATGTAGAACATGTATTTTTTACTGTAGTTGCTCTGGAGTTGAACCGACTGGTGGAAAGGACTCAGAGCACCCCAACTACCAACGCCAACCTGTTCCAACTACCCCCGGGGACTGTTGATGGCATCACCCCCATTGCAGCTGTCCAGCAGGGGATCCCCACCCAGGCAGTACAGCCCTTTGTCAAGCAGGAGATGGTCACCACACCCATGGAGACCTCGCAGCAGCAGCAGCAGCAGCAGCAACAACAGCAACAGCAACAGCAGCAGCAGCAACAACAGCAGCAGCTGCCACAACAGCAGCCACAGGTTGCCAACAGTGTGTTCAGCAAGACCCTGTTTGAGTTACTGAATGCTTCAAACCAACAGGTTCCACAAAGTAAGATTCTGGTGTACAAGAAACTGGCAGTTTGGCAATCAATTTTTTATGTTATTTTTATATGTGTCAAAATTAAACATTCTTCAAATATTTGTATGTTGATATTTTGTAATCTTGTAATCTGATTTGTCCTCCAGCACTGCAGACAGGAGCGAGCCAGCCCAACTCTCAGATCATTCTTGTGAGTAACAATGGCCAGCCAAACTCGGTCACTACAGAGGCGAACGTAGCCAACCAGCAGATACAGGGCATGATGCAGTCCTCACCAATGATTGTCATCCTCCCAGGAAACTCCAACAACACAGCAGCAGCAACAGCAGCTCAAATACAGGCTCAGGCTACACTGAATAATGTACCAGGCGAGTAATTGAGCCCCTTCATTTCATAAGGTAGATTGCAAGATCTTAGGATACGAGGGAAGGAATGGGGGAAGAGGAATCAGTTGTGTGCCATCCTACTCTGAAGAAGGCATTCATCATTGCTATGCTGACAGCCACTGGTTTACATGGCCCAGGCACAGGATATATTTTGGTGAACATGCTGTTCTGTGTTCCCCAGACCTCAATGAGATCTTACCTGTGTGGCTGTCGTGCTCACATACGTATGAAAACATGGACAGTGGTGGTAACAATTAGTCAAATTATGGAATGGGAACCTGTAATTTTTTGTGTTTTATTGATGCAGTTTACTGGACATAAGACATGATCTCCCTTTTCACACCTTTTACATTACTGACCCTTCATCTGTGCTGAACCACCTCCGTGGTCTAGTCATACCAAAAGATGATACTTGTTGTTACCCTGCCTGGCGCTCTGCTTTAAGGGCTAAAACAAGGACTGGTCACATTGAAGTCCATATACTGTGTCTGAGTGGGGTATTTATGTTAAACTGTTAAACAAATTTCATCGGTACGGACTAGTACAAGCAGACAAACACACACATGTGCATGCACGTTGCTATTTAAGTTCAATAATCTTGAATGAGACGTTAAACCCCATTTCACCTAACCTCATAGTGTGCAGTTTACGCCCAAGAAGACAAACAACACGTTTACATTATAGATATCATGTAAAAGTTTGCTACACATTTTACCGGATCTGCCTACATTTCAAGGCGGTCATAAGCATGATAAGCACAAAAATGCATTTAATCTACCCATGGTCTTAGTAGTGATCTTATGCGAACTGGCAACGTTTTGATTTTAACGAGTAGCTCTTCTTTTGCCAGTGGAGTCAATCTTGAAGTCACTTCTTGGCCATCAGGGAGGTCTGACATAGAGACTATCAAGGTTCCTGCACAGCTTGGCCCTCACGGACATGACTGACCAACAAGTGACCATTGTTTGGAGAAGTATCCTGGTGAGGTGGGTCAGGGCAGTCCATGCCACAGACTGTCTGTCGGGGCAACGCAGCTTTGTTGCATATTACATAGAGGGCCTGGTACTGCCAGCTCTCTGTTCATAGGCAGCTATGTTTTCAGCATTTCCTTTTATTTGTAATGTTAAGGGACCTTTGAGTTCATGTTAGGGTTGTTGAATGTGCGACTTCATGTTTGTTAATGCTTCATCACCAAGTTTGTGACGACATAACAAAGAATGCTAACAATGCAGTCATGTGAACATCTTGATATCATATCCCATTGAATGTTCATAGTAGCTGGGAACATTACCAAAAATAAATTTGTTCGTCAGTCAGCAGAATGTAATCTTTTTGGGGATGTGAGAATGGTGTATTTTACCAGAGCTTGGTACTACAGTGTAACCGTTTCATCACTGCCAAAGAGACAGTTCAGAAACACTTGCCAGAAGATTACACACTTGTCTTTACTTTACATTGGATCGACTACTTGACGGAATACAACATTGATTTTCAGTTTGAGGATACATATATGCATGCAGCAGATAATGGGGTGTATTGAAACCAACTGGGATATGGGATGAAGTTGAAATAGCCCTAAGTCTCTGGCAGATTATCATGTCATTATCCTGATGGACAAGTATTGGGATCATATCAAACCGTAAACATCGGAAATATTACTTTGTGAATTTAATCATATCATGCTTAATAGACTTGATGCATAATTTTTGTATGAAGCAGTTGCTTTCTGTTTGTGTGTTTTGATGTATTTGTCTGTAAACACAATCATTGGCTAATACACACTGTACTTGTTCTGTGGGAAAACAACTTTTTGTTTTGTAGTGCTCAAAGCACATAGCGCTTCACTTATTAACTTTGTTGTTTTTACCCAATACTTTCTATATAATATTTGTATACTTTTTACCAAGTATTGGCAGTGTGTAACTGACGCACTAACACAGTCCAGCACAGCCAAAGAGGGTGGGAGAAATTCCTTCTCCCAACTTATTTTATATGTTGTGACATAACTACATGGGCGTAAACATGAATTATGAACCATACAAATATCATCACAACAAGTGGTTAAAATATTGACAAAATTGTTATTGTTCAAATTATTGTTTTGGCTGGTGTACTGACAAGGTAAGGATACTCAGACTATATTTTCAATGTCCGGATTCAAATGCATAACATTTTTCTTATTTATTCCACTTTCATAAAAGCATGTCAAAATATGCATGTGCAGTTTTTCATATTCCTAAATGTGTTTGTGTCTCATTACAGTTTGTTGCAAAAAACATTCATTGAACTCATTCCATATGACATTGTCCAGTTGTGTTGATTTTGTTGAAGTGCTCTAACTGTTTCCAGTGTTGTCACTGGCACATCTTCCCAAGGTAAGGGAGTTAACTCATTATTATCAAAGTCTAGTTTCCACCCTTGGTGAACTAGGCTGGAATTATGGAGTTATTTTTTAGCTGGACTAACGAGTCTATGCATAGTCAAATCAATTTGTAAATTGTCGTGCAGATTTCGGTAGATTGCAGGATTTGCAAAGCATGTGTACCACCAACCTGGCGTCAACAGCTATTTCCAAAATATTTTCATGAAGGTGCTCACCTGATTTGATGCACTTCATTTTATCACAATATAGATTTTGATTATCTATCAGATCATCTTGACTGGGTGCCGCCATTTTGTTTGAAGCAAATGCAAGTGTTATGAGAGGTGAAATCTGATTGGTCAGTAAGAGGGACATAGATGGGACATAACTCATAATAGCCACTGATGGCACTACGATCGAGCCCAGAAATTCTTAGTTCAGCAAGGGTGGAAACTGGACTTTTATAGTCAGTTAACTCCCTTGCCTCGGGAAGATGATTTGTATGGTAATAATAGGGCATGATTTGATATTAGGAAATGTAATAAGGTTTTGCGATATTTTTATATATCCCAGTGAAACCCAATTTTGGTTTAATACAAGTGTTTGACCTGTTTGTAATACGTAGTGTTGTAGAAACTTGTGAACTGCTCTTTAGTGGGACTTTTTTTCCCCTCTCATTGTTTTCCAGTATTGTTTTAATGGTCACAATCTGCTCATTATCATTCAGTCAGTTTCACCCGACATCTTACATTCATGTGGTAACGCTTTAGTTCCAGCTGTTGCATGGATTTCACTTTATCTTGCCAACTTTTCTCACCGAAAGCACAAATATAGATGTTTGATGTGTTTTCACTGGATGACTTCAGTATTGTCAAAATGAACACTGCTGATATCATTTCTAGTTGAATGCCATGTTCAATACTGTGTGATAGAAATTTGTCTTTTATGGCAGAAACTTCAACATTTGTTGTCAATGGTTAATTTTCTCACACAAGATGTCTTGATTGGTAGATTAATGATTGATGAGTAAATAGATGTTATGCTTTTCCTAGATATTTTTACACATCCATCTCTAAAATAATCTGCTCACGATCCTAAACCTAAGCTACATATTATTTAGGAAACTGTTTTGTAAATTACTAAACAAGTACCAGAAAACAGCACATATTATATTTTTTAGTGTCTACTCTGAAAATGGGCATTGCATTACAAATTTTCCAACATTTGACTGGAGTGACCAAGCTTTGATCAGAATGCCACATGCTAAATAGAAAATACTTGATACTCTTTATAGATATTGTCATGTGACCTTGATGACAGCTGAAGAGAAATAGGTCTACCTAAACACAATCATGTGACATTGTAAATGTGAGGAAGTAATTCAAGTATTGAAATACCAGTATATACCATCAAATTCAACAAGGTCACTACCAGTACTGGTATTAGTTAATACTTCCTACTAATTGATATCAGTTTGACCACTGAACGTCGGCTGTCACTTTGCTATTTCAAAAGCTTAACAGTTAAGATTGTTGCTGTGGAATATAACCTTTCTTGATAAATTGTGTTAAGATGACCTACTTTTTATGGCAACATGATATTTTCAGATTCTTATGTAGTTCAATCTCAACTGATTAACCTTTCATATATAAATATTTCATTTCCTGAAAAAGCTGAATTTGGTTGAATCAAACTTGACAAGACCAGCCATATTGAAATTTCTCCAGCATTTCACGTGGTGAAGTTTAGGTTACAGCAAGTAATTGGTATGTGTAATAACATAGTTAATGTTTCGTCACATATTTTCATTTATGATCTTTTTTCCTGACTGTCATAGGATATAAACCACCATAAATATAGCAGAAATGGATAGACCCCTGTGGCTGCTATGGCAACCATGATGGAGCCGTTAGAGATCACTTCAGGACATTATTCAATTGTCAATCTATATCACCCTGTTGGTATGTCTGTTGGTAACTTCAGTTTGCACTGTTACAAATATACTGTATTCTTCTAAAGTGAGCTACAGAGCCTATGTCTCTGTTTTATTATCACAAGTTCAAAATATTGTTTGTATGGTTCAAGCCATTGAACCTGATTTAATATGACCGTTTGAAGTAGACCCAAATGTGGAGAGATTTTTTATCGACGTGTAGATATTTGTAAATGAGTATACATAGTGCTTGTATATAATGTACATAATGCTGCAGTAAGTATATAGAGGGATGCGTTTTTGCTTAAGTATGAACTGGATACAATATTTGGCAAATTATAAAGGTTGATCAGATTAAGAATAATGGAAGTATGTATCTTAGTTTTGTGGTAAGTTATAGTCAATAAGAAAGTAGTATGTGAATAAAGTACCATGTATATGTATCCTAAAGTCGCTGCTGAACAGCTGACAGGACTGACGAGCTGCAGAATGTTACACCACCTAGTGCTCTGGGGTGACGAGCTGCAGAATGTTACACCACCTAGTGCTCTGGGGTGACGAGCTGCAGAATGTTACACCACCTAGTGCTCTGGGGTGACGAGCTGCAGAATGTTACACCACCTAGTGCTCTGGGGTGACGAGCTGCAGAATGTTACACCACCTAGTGCTCTGGGGTGACGAGCTGCTGAATGTTACACCACCTAGTGCTCTGGGGTGGCGAGCTGCTGAATGTTACACTACCTAGTGCTCTGGGGTGGCGAGCTGCAGAATGTTACACCACTTAGTGCTCTGGGGTGACGAGCTGCAGAATGTTACACCACCTAGTGCTCTGGGGTGACGAGCTGCAGAATGTTACACCACCTAGTGCTCTGGGGTGACGAGCTGCAGAATGTTACACCACCTAGTGCTCTGGGGTGACGAGCTGCTGAATGTTACACCACCTAGTGCTCTGGGGTGACGAGCTGCAGAATGTTACACCACCTAGTGCTCTGGGGTGACAAGCTGCTGAATGTTACACCACCTAGTGCTCTGGGGTGGCGAGCTGCTGAATGTTACACTACCTAGTGCTCTGGGGTGACGAGCTGCAGAATGTTACACCACCTAGTGCTCTGGGGTGACGAGCTGTAGAATGTTACACCACCTAGTGCTCTGGGGTGACGAGCTGCTGAATGTTACACCACCTAGTGCTCTGGGGTGACGAGCTGCAGAATGTTACACCACCTAGTGCTCTGGGGTGGCGAGCTGCTGAATGTTACACCACCTAGTGCTCTGGGGTGACGAGCTGCAGAATGTTACACCACCTAGTGCTCTGGGGTGACGAGCTGCAGAATGTTACACCACCTAGTGCTCTGCGGTGACATTCTTCTGTGGTTCTCCTTTTATCTAAAATATCTTATGGTCATTTTTTACATGAATGTGGCAAGGAATATAAACAAATACCATGTTCTCATCTCAGAAAAACGGAAATATTAGATGTACTAATTACACCTCACTTCCTGCAAAATATCTATTTCTAAACCATTTTTATATTTTAGGAATGACTAAGAACTGTAGATAATATTTGAAATAGAAGTGTCATTAAGGAAAAGCTTTCACTTACCTTATTGGGATCAATGACATGAATCGACCAAGTCAGCGAGCCTGACCACCCGATCCCGTCAGTCGCTGCTTGTCGTAAGAGGGGAATTTTGTTTGATTGATTACCTAAAGCTTAATTCGATTTATATTACAAATGGCCATAAGATATTCAGGTTAGTGTTTACATTGCTGTGCAGGATTGAAGGTATATATTTCAGTGCTTGGTCTGTCTTGTGTACTCATATAGTCAGTCAGAAATGTCATATCAAAGATGTCCTCCCTCGGGTTGTCACCCTCCCACAGCATTGTTTTGTAATATTTTTCTTTACATGAACAGTGTTTCTTTGACAAAGATATATCATTTGTAGTACTTTTCAGTTTAAAGCTTGTTATTGTCAAATAAAAAATATTGGAATTAAGAGTTTGGTATCTGGAGAGATGTGTATGCTTTCATTATTATTCTAAAAAATAAGGATTACATTTGTGAGAAAATAGCAGATTACCAAAGAGATTTCATTGTTTTACTCATGCATACTATGAAGCAGCGAATGCTGTATATCTTACCGGTGTGTGTACACTGATAGTCCATGGTAATTAGAACATATGTTCTCCCATTTAATTACTATAGTGGTATATCTAAATAATCCTAATCTAATCACCAAAGATGGGATTGGTGGAATCACACCACGAGATTTGTGAGTTCAATAGAGTGTAACTGACAATAAACAGTAGTTGGTTTAGAGAACTGGATTAGTAGTAGAACGTTTGTGAAATCATGCAACACTTATGTGATCCTTCACTGGAAATGTTTAAATTGTACATCTGCTTGCGTTTTTTCATTCGTACTGTATGATTTGTTTCATATTTTCTTATTCATGATTCATTTTGAGATAATTCAATTATTCAGATTGACAAAGGTTTTACTGAATGTTTGACATGTACGTGTTTGTGTAACAATTTGTGATACAGCAATGCAATCGAGAATGTTAGTGCTACCATTTAATCCATTAATCAGTTGAGCTTTCAGACCCAGGGATTTATCCCTTATTGGAATGAAACATTTCCTCATTCTTTTTATCATTGATGATTATGTTTAAGTATTGTAATTGTATCTCACATTACCCGTTTAAAGGAAGAGGCTCTCAAATTAAGTTTACACCATTGCCTTGAATGCATTATTGAAATACTTATGAATTTAGGAAACTATTTCAAATGTGGGCACAAAGTACACGTTTAATCCAATTTACCTGCCACAGATACTAAAATCGAAGATAAATCTCTGAAACTTGTTTGAACACACAACATATATTACCATTACAGACTCTATGACTTGCCTCTTGTTGGGTTGAAGTTGTGTGCCAGCTTACGTCGGTGATTGTGTTGTTTTCTTCATGCATAAACTCTCTTGGTTTGCAAATATTTAAACTTGAATCTCATACTCTGTAAACTAGGAGTATTCATACATGTTGAGATGGCTCCTTCTGTAAAGTTGGGGTAGTTTTTCTGGTCAGTTAGTAGATGTGATAAGGATAGCTGTCTGTCTCTCTTTATCTGCACATAACCAATTCACGAGGAGGTTTTAAGGATTATGCCTTGAGCCATTTGACTAGCTTATTGTCATTGAT